CCCCCCCCCCCCCCGCCTGGACAAGCTCTGAGCTCCCGACCGGTCTCCCGGCATGTGTGGTAGAGTAGTGCATGTAAGTGTAGGCGTGTGTAAGGGATGAGGATAGATTAAGGAAGGGGAAGGAAAGATCGCATCCGGTCTATGGCCCGTTTGTTATGGTACTGCTTCTGTATTTAGCTGGTATTTATCGGAGAAACCACAGAAAACTATCAATCAGAGCAGCCAGTCTCTAGAATTTTCCTTCAGACAGCGACTGAATTCGACCCAGCTGTCCAGCTAGGGCCGAAATTCCTGCCACGTAAGAACTCGAACCTATGTCAGAGGCACTGCAGCGACATCGGTTTACATCCTGTGCCATCTCTCCCAGTGTGTGTTAACGGTTATTTCCTTCTTTCTTCCACTTCTTCGCCCTGCCCCCGCAGAGTCCCGGCTCCGCCCCTCTCCCGTGTCGCCACGTCTCCGACAGGTAGCACATAAACTCGAGCTAGCTAGTGTCGAAAACCCTGACATCGTCGAGACTCGAACCTAGGTTCTCCCGGTCAGAGGCATTGCAGTGACACCTGTTTATGCCCTGAGCCACCTATCCCCGTCCAGCACTCATGAACTCTTGAAATCTTCGAGCGACGGGTCTCTTATAATACATTCAAATGCAAGCTCATCTCTGATTGGAACACTGCACATTCTGTGAAGCACGAAATATTTTATAGCGTAATCTCGCCAGGCTGCCATACCCGCCACTCCTAGGCAACAAAATCGGTTCTCACGTTGACTCCTTAGAGTTATACACCCTGCTTCGTGTGTTTTTCGTTACTACTGAATTCAGTGCAGTAAACTCTGATGGATCACCACATTTCTTAAAATATGCACTGTTCGCATTAATGCAGTAAATTGTATTAATAAATGCGCTGTAATAAAAATGCAGTTAGTGAACTTCAGGGCAGAAAGCATGCTGCGCTGCTCCACCAAAACTGTCGTATCTCTGCTAAGATATGCGGAGAAAATATTAACCGTTTTACACGAGTAGGTAGTGATCGTGGAGCATCAATTCATATTTAAGACGTTGTTACGACACGAATTCTACCAAGCACATCTAAAGACAGATATTTATTTAAAACTGAATGTGACGTAGCGGGGAGCTCAGTGTAAGTAATGAATGTGTAAAGAAACAAAACAAGCAAACAAATAATAATAATAATAATAATAATAATTATTATTATTATTATTACTTTAAAAGAGCAAAATTAACATTCTAATAACTAGGTATTTTCGTTCCGTGTTATAGAAAAATTATTTGCAGCGAGAAACGAACTTCAAATTTGATTTTGTCTGCATTGCTAATTAAGAGTTCTACTCGTACCTCTAGAAGCAACAGGAGAACTCAATAAAACGAAGCTTCATTTATGACCAGAGGCAAAACAAGGGGTCATCCCAGCAACTGATTTATATTTAGTCAAAAACAAGAAAGAACCGTATTTGACTTATGGGGGAGAAGATAATCTGCACACGTTTTCTTTAGTTTCAGAATCCCTTCCCGTCATTTTAACTATAAATAGTTAGAAGATGAGTAAAAGTTTAAAATACATAAATAAAAATAAATTTTAAAAAATCGCGAGACTAGCAATATTTGAAAAAACTATACATTTTCGTTCCCGAGTTATAGAAAACTTATTTGCATCGGAAAGGAATTGTAGGTATGATTTTTCGTTGCTGAAAATAGTAACTCGTCCTTACCTCTACTTCTACCACTACAAGCAGAAGGAGCGGTCAACAAAACGCTTTGATCGACGAATTTGCTCAACAAATCAGGGAAACTAGACCCTGATCGAGGTGTGGGTCATTGACCCGGAAGCTGAAGTACATGTAATTAACTGTTCATGAGTGAATCGTCAGGTTAAATCAAAAACATGCCGCCCCCACGCAAGTGGCTTGACGCAAGTGTCCATTTACTGTGTATTCTCTCTACTGCGAGATCCAGCTATGAGTCACGCGCAGCGTATCACAGTGAAAAGAGTTAAACTCTGTTGGCAACCTATTTGTCACCAAGGTCTGATGTGATTTGTGGCAATGTTATTTATGTTTTTCTTTTCACCTAGTGTAACGGTAACTGTGAAGATTGTCCTTTAGCTAATCACACCTAATCATTGCTTTAAATTTTAAGTGCGTTATGTGTTCAGTGTTATTTTGCATTCTCCCATACTACGTAGTAGAGACAATATATTGTAATATCATAGGGAAAAGTGCCCCAAGCAATTTTTCGAGATAAATGTTTTATTATGTGTCCATTTTACCGAGAAAGTACATGATTCTTGTTCATATTTGTAGGTAATTGCTTCCTTTAATACATAGTGTAATCAGAATTTACGTTTTGTAGGATCTTGTTATCCAAATATTGGTTTTTGGCAAAACAAAACGTGTGTGTGTCTGTATACACGTATGTCCGCCTGTCTGAAAACAACGCTGGCGGCTAAACTGTAGAAAGTTCTTCGCGATCCTTGATATTCCCCTATCGATGTGCCTGATGTGACGTTCCATGGTCGTAATATTGATAAGTTACCTATTTCCGTATTGTTTTAGTGCTATGACTTTGTTTGCTATAATTATAAATTGTTAAAATGGTATCCGGTGAATGAATTGTTGAAGAACAATTTGCTTTTAGTCGTATAATGAGGCTTGTGTAGAGTATTCCGAAAGATGATCCGTGCATTACATTTACCCAGCACATAAAACTAACCAACCGATAAAGAATTAAAAAAAATATACGAGTATCCACATGAACATTATGTGCTCTTGTTTCATCCTTTAAGCTATTCAACCAAATTTATAGACCTGACGAGACTTGCAGATGGGGTACGTTCTTTCCTTGATTGTTAATAATCACATAAGTGAACATATACGACGCTTCATCAGGATTTAATACTTTTAACAAGTACCTTGGTCTGTCCAACCGTTCGTCTGTCCCTCATAGATGCCCTTTCGGTTCACTAATCGATAAAAATGAAATGGCATTCGATCCGTCTTGTTCTTCTGATGGGAAACTGATATATTTTTCGAATCCATCTAGAAGATTCTAATAAATTCCTCTAAAAACATTTTTTAGGCAACTAGGCATGTTTGGGGTGATTTATAGCACCTACAGAGGTGATAATTAGCTCATTTGATTCTTCTCGACAAGATAAATCGACTATCACAATTATTAGCCGTCTTTCGAATCGTCTGGAATCTTTGTAGAAAACCCGTTTTTAACTGTTTCGATGCTCCTGGGAGTACACTGGCGAAATGCTGTAAATTACTGTCCTCTCTTTACAGCATTTATGTAGTTATAACTTACGTCATCAGATAATTAAACCTAATTTTGTTTAACAAATTGTCTTAAAAATTATTAATCACGTGAAACGCATTTTGGGAGTGTGTTAAAGCCTTCTACACCCTCCATTTCTCTCGCCAAGAATCGATTGATCTATTTTTAACAGGATATTTCAAAAATATTTTAGAGCATTTGTAGAAAAGAATGTTTTTAAGAGTTTTAAAGCACTTACAGTGCTGAAACACTGTGGATTACTTTTTGATCTTTCCGACTTAAGGTAAATCCTAAGGGAATGATTCATAGCGATTGTTAATGTAATATAGTTCAAAATGATTTTTTTCTGTTACAGGTGTAAAAGATTTTCTTCCCGGAAGTATACTACCGAGACAACTAGTCGGATACTTCACAACACAACTTCGAGAGAAGGTAAAACATAGCATGTCATCTCATTATGATTTAACTCAAGTTGACGCCATGTCTTTATATATATGTGTGTGTGTATGTGTGTATTGATTACTAGATATTGTTATTACTGCGCTCTTAAAGTTAAATCCATTTTTTGCATTTTTCTTTGCAATTTGTTTCTATAAAAACATTTGGTGAAATTCCATAGTTTTAACTCATTCGAGAGGAGAATTCGCAGTACAGTTCTGCGCGTTGATGGCACTCCATGTATAAGAATTATTCATGAGTTTACGAAGTTCAGTGTTAAAAATTATGCATAACACACGCACGGTAATACATTCATAAATGAAACACATAATTATAGAAATGAAAATTATTATAACTTTTTGTAAGGTTTCTTAGGTAAGGAAGGTCTTTGAAAACGTCTTAGTGAATTCACTGTTGATAGTAAGGATTGAGGCCAATATATAGGGGTAATTATGTGCACTTTGTAAATATTTTGCGGTTTCTTTTGATTTTTCTTTTTTACGTGAGATCTGCAAGTCTGCATAGTTACATTTCAATCATACTTGAAAGTATGCTTGTACTTCTACGTAATATTGAAAGGTTTCCCATAAAAAATCTAGTGCATATTTTCCACGCACTCCTGTGAGACAACAAATATCACAGAGTTTATCTCAGCAATATCACTGGATATCACGGCAATTTTGAATTCAATTTAATTTTGTTAGTAATTTGTTTACAGGATTGTCCTTTTAGAAATACAAGTAATACAGTAACACAAACAAATACAAATAATACAGTAACACCAGAACAAAATAAAATAATTGCACAATGTATAAAATAATTGAGTCAACAGAACATACAAATAAATACAAAACGACTTCAATCATCATTAGAGTGCTAGTATATAACTATTCATTTGTAATTAATGCCCGTAATTTCAGAAGTGATGAAATAAAAATGTACAGATTAGATCTTTCAGAGTTTAGTTCAATTGGGAAAGGGTAATACATCATTGATGTAAGGTCCTCTAAACCCTATAAAAATTGGGCACTTAGATAAAATGTTTACGATTTTCATCAGTATTCATATTACGCTAGTAGTTAACCGTAATATGAAGACTATTCATTTTCGTGCAGAATAAGCAAATGCTTACAGATCAAAACAGAAAAAAGCGTAAGCAGAAACTTGCCGTCGTACGTAAGTTATAGTTATTCTCACGAACACAATTTGCAGTATACTTCTGCGCAATTAAAATAGGTAGTAAGTGTTTCCAACGGCCAATAAAATTACCCACTCGCGACAGAACTGTGATAATTTCCATAAGTTATGATGTTTATGGTGTTCATGGCTTGTATCGGAAGCTCTTTGTAGAGTTTTTGTAGTTTTGTAGAGTTTGTATGAGAAGCTGTTTGTAGGGAAATACTGTACTGCCATGACACGCCATCGACGTACTCGGTCGTCTCGTGTTCAAATCAAACACGTTTTGTGAGAAGTGATCAGGCACAACTCAGAGCTGTATTTGTTTCTATCGCCGAAGAAAATCAATATCATCTTTGCTGTTCCAGATGTCCAAGATTGCTAAGGCAGTAGTGGCGTAGCGATTTCGCACCGAAGGATCGCGGGTTCGATTTCCGTCTCGTGCATGGTTGTATTGTGTTCGTCCTTTCACACCCCTTATCATAATCATATCGTCATCCTCATAGTTACCTTACCGTTACAAGCAATGTGGTCCCTACTGACCTAGTAGTTGATGCGACCTTAAATAACAATATAATATATATTTCGGACTCGAAATTGCAACAGATCACAATGGAAAGTCGAAAATGTTCTTTTGTCGTTTCCAAGTTTTGTCGGTTTGTGTGCAGCAACAGGATTATTAACTATGTGTCGAGGATATTCTACGAGGGCAAAGTTGCTGGACCGATTTCGTTTGTTCACGCCGCCACGAGAAGGGCTGTAAGTGTTCACTAGATGATTGATGTTTCTGCCCACGTAAACTGCTATGGTCATTAGTTTCGTTGGTGTTTTATGTTCTTCGCCCGGTGAATAATGAGATACAGCGCCAACCTAACATGGCTTGTGTCGGCTTTTCCTTCCCAAGTATCTCCTAGCGAGGGCAACCGCTCCAGCTGCGACAAACTTTGATCTAACATGCGTGGTAGTATATTGAAGGTAAATATAACTCTGAGTTTGAATGGAGAACATAAGTCAAGGAAGAAGAAGGACAAATCGCGTGCGGTTTTAGCGCGTTTATTACGGTATTGCTCCGAAATTATCGTGGTATTGATAGGAAGAAACACGAAAAACCGAATCAGAGCAACCGGATCCTGTTAACGATAAATTTGGGGAAAATATTCAACGGAAGCATGGTGCGTACCACACCGTCTTCAAAATTCATGATCAGACCTATCTTTCGTCACTTCCAAAATCAAATTTAGATCATCTAAAAGAAATCCGGTAACAGTACAGAGGGCCAAGAAAGTCAGTTTACTCTAGAAAGGGCAAAACAAGAGAATTTCCAACATCCATCTACGCCCTCAGGAGGTACTAAATACCTGAAGAACTAAGAGTAAAAAATATTTAATTTATTGCTATTAGATATTTATATAGACTTGGCAATTACAATGTTTCAATTAATGAATTAAATAAAATTATTTTCTTGAAGCTTATTTTCTTTGACTAAAAAAAAGCTGCGAGTGGATTTTGAGAGCCGTGTGACATCTAGAAATTGATCATTGACCGATTACAATCGTACATTGCATTTTTTTAGAATAGCATGTAAGTAGATAAGTAGAAAAAAGAATGTCAACGAGTCATTCTAGTTTACTTTCCCGCCTTTCATAATAATAAGTCAGTGTGCGTGGTTCGGCGAACTTTTTTCCTCTGAAAAACGCAAGGGCGCCTTCCCACGCCGCCAGGGCAGCGCGCGTACGTCAATCGGCAGGGCTCTTCGCCGACCCTCCGGCGACGACGAACAGAAGTACCGCAGCAGGTAGAACGAGGCGACCGGCGGCCGCAGTGGCAAGGCTCCCATTTAAAGCTGTGTTCTGCTAGCGGTGGCGCGTCCCCCCTCCTCCGCTTCGCGTAGCGCGTGTCTTGACGGCAGCGCGCTGCCGTCGCGACGTGGGAAGGCGCTCTTATTGCTAGGCGTTGGTACCAGGAAATTGATAAACCTTGATCCTACGTGCAGTAAATTACGTTGTCCAGCCGGAATCCACGATTGCGCCCGGTCAGAGCAGCCGCGTGTGCGATGAGAGGCTTCTGGAAAGGGTCGCTGGCGCTGGGCGCGTCCGCGCCGCGGAAGGGGAAGGGCGAATTCAAGAGGTACACGGGAGCCGCCGCATAGAAGGTGAGGGCCGGCGGATGGTATCGGGCGAGGTGGCACCGCGCGCCCCTTGGCCAGTGCCGCTAACCTCGTTACGCGTGCGAGGCCCCCGGGCGCGCTCTTAGGTACACGGAGGGCCTACAGGCTAACAGAGCGGAGGACGGAGAGAGATGACTGGGTGGGAGAACGAGAGCGTGTGCGGAGGACGAAGGTGCGCGAGACGAAGGATGGCGGAGGACGAAGGATGGGAGGACGAAAGGGTGGGAGGACGAAAGGGAATGGGAGGACGAAGATGCGGAGGACGAAGGATGGAGGACGAAGGATGGGAGGACGAAGGATGGGAAGACGAACAGGGGAGGACGAAAGGGTGGGGGGAATGAAGCGTGGGAGGATGGAGGGTGTGCGAGGACGGAGGAGTGGGAGGACGGGCCGGGTGGGAGGACGGGGGGTGGGGGACGGGGAGGTGGGAAGTCAGGCAAGGATGGGAGGCGGAAAGATGGGAGACGGGCGGTGGAGGACGGCGACGGATGGGAGGGGAGGCGGATAGGGCGGACGGCGAGGTGGAGGAACGGGAGGATGGGAGGCGGAAAGGATTGGGAGGCGGAATGGATGGGAGGCGGTAAGGATGGGGGCTGGAGGTAGGAGGATCGGAGGGTGGGACAAGACAGGGGTGGTGGGAAGCCGATAAACGAATAGCAACAAAGGATATCGCAGACGAAAAAAAAGGGCGGAGCGAAGGCCGGTAAAGATACGGAAAGGGCCAGTGAAGGCGGAGAAGGATGTGAGTACGAATCAAAGAGCGGAGAAGGGTGAGGGGCACGTGAAGAAGAAGTATGCGAATAAAATAAAGGATGGAGGAGATCAGAGGCTGAGTGCGGGGTGGCGAAAGAAAATGGAGGAGACCGGGAGAGAACGGAGCAAAACAGAGGGAAGATTTGGGCGGGGGGCCGGGAGAAAACGTAAGACGACAGAGAAGGGCGGAAAGTGCAGAAAGATGAGAAGAATGAGGGTGAAGGAGGGATAAGAGAAGGAGGAGGAACAAGGACGAGGGTAAAGTTTAAACAATTATTTTCTCAGAAACTTTTCCAATTTTTTTCTTTAAATTTTTTCCTCGTAAGTATCAAAAAATGTAAAAAGAATTGTGCTAATCGCATTTCCGGCGAACCCTCTGTATCTCAGAAAATTGCAAAACTTAACACTGCAAAATAATATTGTCGATGTTACAGATTTTTTAATGAAAATATGATCTAAAAACTCTGCTCTTTTAAAATATCATTTTACTCTTTCAAGGTCATCAAGCACTTTTATTAACAGGCCTAGTTTTCAAGTAATGTCTTGTTACAAATTGTAATTTTTTTTTCAAATACCCTTCCAGATCTTTTCTTCAATTTTTTTTAAACGGATAAAACTATGTGGGTTTAAAAGAATGGTACTCAAAATGGACAGGTCTCATTTTTGTCTCTCTGAATTTTTGAAAATTGTAACAATTAGCAGTATTGCAAAAAATAATGAACTGTTAATCACCTCTTTTTCTTTGGCATCCTATAAGGATGTCAGGGGTCATTCTGGGGGGAAGATAAATATCATTACATAAACGATGAAAGATGTGAAGGTTTAAATGAAACACTTGTCCGTACGAGAATTAAACGTCTCAACTCGTGCATGGAGAGAACGCCAGTGCTGAATTTTGGGCTCGAATTCTCAACATCGATTCCGAGCACTTTATTCGATTGCTCCAAGCCCCTGTGCCAGAGAGATCGGATCGCCAATTCGGTCATTAATGGATAGTCCATTATTTGTGACTTTTACTATGTATTTACTCTCAGGATATATAAAATGTATGCCTTTATTAAGTAGAGTAATTTAAGGTGTCTGATTAAAATTCATCTTCTACCAAAATCTGAAACGACAGCGTAAGGAATTTTAAGAATGAAATTACAATAATAGAAAAAACAAGCTAGAAAATTAGTTAACCATTACTCCATGCAAATTTCTTATTAACTTACAATTTTCGACAACTACTGAAGAATGTCTTCACATTATAGAATTACAATCCTAGATTGAATTTTTTTGTTGAATAACATGTAAGAAGATATTTTCTCTATTAAATACATTTTCGTTTATGAAGGTAATTTTGTAGTAAAACCATTTATGGTTACGCATTGTATAGTCGAATCATTAGCAAAACCTCTGAGGTCACTGGCTTTTATAAAACCCAATGTGCTCCCCGTATTATTCGATTCATTGCTCTCGTTTTTCCCAGTAATATTAGGGTTGACCACCAATGGTGGCCCAATTAGAAATGTACCTCGCGTTGTGTTCACTGATAATGAGGAAAATGGCGGACAGTGGGTTGACCCAAATTCCACAATGCAGAAGAGCGTATGGAATTATAATATTGTCTGTTGGAAAATATACCATCCCCCAACCCTCCGCATATCATCATGAAGAATATTTGTAAAAATCATCAAATATATTTTTAATGCAGTACATTTTGAAGAAGAATCGTATACCTCTCCAGAATGATTAATATTTACAAAATGAGATACAATGTACAATAATGTACAATGTAAGATAATGTACAATGTTTGTATGTATCACATAAAATTTAGAAACATTAGAGTAATTACTCCGAAATTTAGCGCGAATGCTTTTGACCGGTCAAGAATAAACAATAGCGTAGTTGCGATCGAAAGTATTACCTGATTTTGTTTTCAATATTTAGTGAAAGGCAATTTCCAATGTATCTTGACAGCATTGTTGCTGGGCGTTGCGGGATATCGCGGGGCGATGACCTCCCGATTAGAATCCCCAGGAGAGATGGCTCAGTGCATCAACTAATGTCCCAGCAGTGCCTCTAACTTGTAGGTCCTAGTTTCGAGTCCCGACGGTAGCACAATTTTCAATACTAGCTTGTCAGCTAGTTAGAGTTCAGTCGCTGTCTCGAGGAGAGTTCTTGAGGACAGCAGCACTGATCGGTAATTTTGCGTGGTTTCTCCGATCAACACTACGTAGCAGTACCGTTACAAACGGCCCACGGACCGCGCGCGATCTTTCCTTCCTCTTCGTTGTCCTATGCTCACCCCTTTTACACCCTTACACTTACATGCACTACCCTTCCACACTTAAAGGAAGAGCGGTCTGGAGCGTAGAGCTTGTCGCGGCTGGGGCGGTGTCCCACTGGTGGGAGATACCTGGTTGAGGAAAGTGCCACTAGCCGACGATAGGTCGGCGGTGGATCTCACAATCCAGCTGGGAAAGATGGCCGGCACCTCCCAAAAAAAACATGCGCTACACAGTAGCTGAGTAATGCCCTCGATAGTTGACGCGCCCGGAATCACTACCAACCAACCGATCAGAGTCGCCGCCCGTGAAGAGGCGGGGTTGAGGATTCCCCAGGGCCGGGGGAAGGGGAGGGGGCCAATTAATCGCACGGCGTGTGATGATTAGCCGCCTCCCACGTGTGCATGCCGTGGGGGGAGGACGGGCGCCCCAAGGGATCGCTCGCTGCCTCTCGGCGGGGCTGCTCCCACCCCCACCCCACCCTCGCCGACGCCAAGCGCCAGGTGCATACCATCGAAGATCCACTTCGGCCTCCTCATCGTATGGCGTTGGTCACGGGATATTAACGGGCGACTTCGGGGTTGCTGCACGTAACGCAACAGTGGCTTTTCAGTGAACAAAAGTGTAAAAGTTCGTATGTCTAAGAAGTTATTAAACCGTCTTTATCCTCTTTACCTGTATTGATTTCTCTGAACAAACATTACGTTTGTGAGGGTCAGAAGAAAACGTGGCTAAGTAATATTTTGAGGAACTAATGGTACTACAACAGCACTAACTTCGTAAATCCAATAACAGTTACGTAAAATTATAATACCGCAATACCTGTCCCAATGAATACATCTCAGTTAGTATTTGTAAAACACATTACCAATCGTTCCGCATTCGGCTGAAACTTTAATTCACAGAAAGCTAATACATCAACAATACTCGACAATTCATGCCCACCCAGAAACCATTCCCCAGAATCCATTCACGCGGAAACAGTGCCCAGTTCAGGAGAAGTTATCCTGAACATTGCAACCTCCTTTGTCGCTATGTTTATTACCTCGTGAAATATTCTGGCAAAAGTAGTGCGGGAAATTAGAATCTGCGATATCGAACATGCAAAAGTCACGCTAAACAACTCATATTTTTTTACAGATTGTACACAACCTTTTTTAGAGAAATCAGAACAGATTTCATTTAACAAACAATTAAAAATTTAAACGCTTTACGTAATGAAAAGGTGTTTCTTCTCGGGATGTGACGAGCGCTTTGGGGAATTCTTCACGGGATGTACTACGTGTAACAATAACTTTAGTCAAACTGGCGATGTCCACGGATTGAAACACTGCCTCAAAATGCTGGCTTCGGAACTGCCATGCCCTCGCTTGCGAGACAAGACGTTTGATATGGTTCTTCTGAGAAACGGAATAATTGTTATACTTTAAAAAAGTTTTAAACCATTAGAGGTTTTGTTGCATGATACTTCTTGTCATTTTCTTTGATTAATTCTATTTAATTTTCGTAATTTTCCATTGTTATTCTAAACTTTGTATATTAAGATGAAAGAAAAATTGTAATTTATAACGTCTCCATTACAGTACATCAGAAGTTGCGACCAATTGGGTTGCAAAACATAGTGGTTTATGCAAACAAAACTTAAGAAACTTAAGAGTGAAATGTTTGTTTCACTGTAGTATGAGATGGATACTACTATATGCAAGATGTACATGTATACTATTGTGAAAATTGAGTGTAGTTCCGCGGCTCTGGTTCATGACATTTTAGCTGTCCGGATGACTCCGCGTCGTTCGCTGAGAGGCCGACGTTTCGCCTGACATGTCGCAGGATTCCTCAGAGCAGTGACGGTCACTCAGTTAGTCCGTTCGTAACCTTCCCGGACACCCAGGACGCCCCCATCTTTTGCTGGGAGTCGATCGGCTCTGCAAGACGGAAGATACACCCGCTTCGAACGGGTTAAGGGCGGACGACCGCTCGGAGTTCTTACAACTTAGAAATGTAAACATACCACAACATTGTAATCTAATCCGTTTGAGAGTTACTGCTTTATAAAGAAATATATTGTGAAGCTCTTATTTGTAGCGGCTGTGAAAAAGGGAAACAATCATACAAAGAATTCCCATAATACCCAGAAGCTACGCGTTTCAGTTAAAGACACTTTCGTTTATCGATTTTTTTCAATGATAATCAACACAGCACAGGAGCAGATGAAGTTGGTGTATATTTATGTAAAAGGTGTTTTAGTTATAAGTACTATATGTGACGCTCTCGAGTGAGTAATTCCCAGAATTATTGGTCCGTACTCCTGAATGCATAACCAAAAATAATGGATAAAGAAGCTTTCCTGTAATGTCCTTGTAATATTAATGTGAGAATTGTCAAATAATTATATTCACTTTTTTTCTACTTTTTAATGAACCGTGTAAAAGAATTCAAGACTCCACACCAACAAAGTTGCGAGTATAGCTAGTAATTCCTAAAGTCCACAATTCTGCATTCTGGAAACACATTGTTCGCATGGTGATAAATCACTTGAAATATGCCTGATTTTGCGTCATAGAGAGAAAAACCACGGGAGAAAAACTCCGGAGGTAAGTGCTGATAAAATAATTAAAATTTTGTGTGTAGCTAAACTGGCGACTAAAGTGGATTTCTCGAAGAAGAGAAAATCATTCATTATGAAAAAAATTAAAATTAAAAAGAAATCTGTACAAAATGAATTACAACTTTACAATACATAGAAATAAGAAATGAACCCACCCATTTTACTAAATGACTTACCGAAAAGGAAAGCGTTCTTCGTTGATGTTACTTACGCTGCAGATCCTACATCAATATGTATCAATATCAATGCATTCCCCTCTCAATGGAATATGCAGCAAAATACAAACATGAATCCGTTGAAATTATACGAATTGTCACAACAACCGGCCTTGTTAAGTAATCTTAAGTATTATTTGAAAATAGTAGGTCTTTCTCATAAAATTATTCCAATAGTTCCTTCTTGAAATCTGCTGGATTGTTCGCACGGTTCTAAGTTTGTGAAGCTAGGAATATTATACCCATCAAAACATCTTCTTGTGAGAAAACACAGAGAAAAATGTATTATAATAATACTAGTAATGTAAAAAATTAAATGAAATTAATTGAAATATTTATTCAATTTTAAATACATCATTTTATTAAATAAGAATTCTTGTTTGCAATACTCAAATAACCATCAGAAGCAATTTGTGTCATCTACGTTTTTTTAAACCACAAACTCTCTTATTTTTTCTAGTTAAATATAGCTCTATTTGATGTGATAAGTTTATTTTTCCATTTTATGCACAACTAAAATTTAAAAACACTGACTTTACTCTCATTTTCGAAATCACAAGCAAAATAATGTTCAATCTAAATTGAATTGGAATGTATGACCACTATTATTTACCTAGGTACACTTTAACTAATATTTACTTAATATAATATTCTAAGAAATGATTCTAATTCTAGTTTGCATATCTACTGGTGCTCTACGTAATATTTTCTATGATGCATTTGTAGGTAAAATATTAAGGTTATTGTTTTAATAATGTTGATGAAATTTTCTGATGACCAAGACTAACTTTACCTAAAGTTTTATACGAATAGAAATTATTCTCCTTCCTCTTCATTCTCCTCATCTTCGTCGAATTCGCCCTCCTCCTCCGCCGTCGCGTCCTGGTACTGCTGGTACTCGGACACGAGGTCGTTCATGTTGGACTCGGCCTCTGTGAACTCCATCTCGTCCATGCCCTCGCCCGTGTACCAGTGCAGGAACGCCTTGCGGCGGAACATGGCCGTGAACTGCTCCGACACGCGCTTGAACAGCTCCTGGATGGCGGTGGTGTTACCGATGAAGGTGGAAGACATCTTCAGCCCCCGCGGGGGGATATCGCACACCGCCGTCTTCACGTTGCTGGGGATCCACTCCACGAAGTAGCTGCTGTTCTTGTTCTGCACGTTCAGCATCTGCTCGTCCACTTCCTTCATGGACATCCGGCCCCTGAACACCGCCGCCACGGTCAAGTAGCGGCCGTGGCGGGGGTCGCACGCAGCCATCATGTTCTTGGCGTCGAACATCTGCTGCGTCAACTCGGGCACCGACAGCGCTCGATACTGTTGGCTGCCGCGAGAGGTCAGAGGAGCGAAGCCTGGCACAAAAAAGTGTAGACGAGGAAAAGGTACCATGTTGACGGCCAGCTTGCGGAGATCGGCGTTCAGTTGGCCGGGAAATCTGAAACACGTTGTCACTCCCGACATGGTAGCAGACACTAAATGGTTGAGATCGCCGTACGTTGGAGTTGTTAACTTCAACGTTCTGAAGCAGATGTCGTACAGAGCTTCGTTGTCAATGCAGTACGTTTCATCAGTGTTTTCTACAAGCTGATGAACTGACAAAGTAGCGTTATAAGGCTCCACTACTGTATCTGAAACCTTTGGAGACGGCACGATACTAAAAGTAGTCATGATTCTGTCTGGATATTCTTCCCGAATTTTGGATATCATGAGCGTTCCCATGCCTGAGCCAGTCCCACCACCCAACGAATGAGTGAGTTGGAAGCCCTGAAGACAATCGCATCCTTCAGCTTCCTTTCTCACAACATCCAGGACGGAATCGACCAGCTCTGCCCCTTCCGTGTAGTGACCTTTGGCCCAATTATTGCCAGCTCCACTTTGCCCGAACACAAAGTTATCGGGGCGAAATATCTGTCCGAATGGCCCCGATCTGACAGAATCCATTGTGCCAGGTTCTAAATCCACCAGAACGGCACGTGGTACATACTTGCCTCCTGTCGCTTCATTGTAGTAAACGTTAATCCTTTCCAGTTGCAAATCTGAATCTCCATTATAGGAACCCGTTGGATCGATTCCATGTTCGTCGGAAATCACTTCCCAAAACTTCGCTCCTATCTGGTTGCCGCATTGACCGGCTTGAAGGTGAACTATTTCACGCATTTCGGTGATAATTAAGAATCACTTCAAGAGGAATATTACGTCAAACTAACTCAGCTTATGAGTTCCAAAGCAGTCGTGTAGCAACTAGCTATTCATGAAGATAACAGTTTAACAGTTTATCCAAGGCGACGCATTTCAATTGTTGGCCAAAGAACAAAATACATTCTCTTTTTTCGTAGTTTAGTATGTTCGAAACCAAGCTGTGGAAGTCAACTCGATATCCACAGTTATTTTCAATATCGATTAGAATAATATTGAAATATCAATACAAAAATTATTCTGAACATGACTATTAAAATGAGATGAAACAAAGAGACTTATACGTTTCGTTAAGGCACACAATGAAGCTCAGCAAGCTTGGAAGATAATTTTTAATAGTAGCTGTCTAATGTTGTAGGAAACATTGTTCAAATATTAATAGAATGTAGATGTTCTTACAGTTTATTCGGATAACGATCAAATGCATATTTAGTTCGAGTATATATCAGTATGTTGCAGAACGTGTAATAATTGTAGTTTTTCTTCTTAAACCTTTACTGTTGAAATATAGCTTCATAAAATACTTGTTTATTTTGTAGACGGACCATCTAATACTCATGGGTTCTATAGGTGACCTGTGCAAGTATCTTCGAAACGATGTGAAGTATCGGAATGGGGTTTGAGCAACGTTCTTGGGCATCATAGAGGAAATTACACATTTAGTGTTCTTGTTTGTAAATTTAATTTTTTATTTACTGACACATCTTCAATTTTACTTTCTCACAACCACCGACGCAGAATAGAGTAAGTATACTCTAATGCTGTGGAAAAAAGGCGCATTTTCGTCAGAAACACACTTATGCAGGGTCCTGGTAACGAAAAAGTGGGAATCTTGTCCTTATAAATAGTAAATTACGTCCTCTAACAGGCTTTAGATAAAATCCATGTTTTGTCCTTAATACCGAAAATCCTCGATTGAAAAATCGATTGCCACAAAAAATGTCCACCTGTCTGTGAACAACGTTATCACCAACAAAAATATGACATACAAAACGTAATAATATTGAGCACAAAACATGGATGTTATAAAACATCATTGTTATAAAACATCGGCTCTAATAACTTGATATTTAAAACATCGACGTTTGTATAAAAATATCGATGTTTTCAAAATATCGTCATCAATGTCGCATTCCTATCTCCAAAGTGCATCATCCCTGCCATCGGAGGAATAAGGAACATAATAGAATAAATTGATAACTATTTCTTTGTGAAACGATTAATACTCTATTATTACTCTTATACTACTCTTTTTCACAAGATATGAAAATAAAGAATATGTAATCTTGTTAAATACAGAAAACTGAATAGGATGGAGATACTTTGCCAAGGCCGTATGCCCCGAAAGGAAGTAAGGCAGAAGAAGAAAAGAAGAGGAGAAGGAGAAGAAGAAAAGAAGACGAAGGAGAAGAAGAAAAGACGAAGAAGAAGTTAAATACAGAAAATGATTTCCACGTTCATATCCTCCTCGGGGAAACAGATGCACAACATAAACCGAGGCATTACGTGACGTATAAAGGACATTGTTTCAGCTCTGCAGGCTCGCCGCACGCTCGGTCTGTATTCCAGAGTTGCGTCGTTTAATGCGCTGTAAAGAGCAAGAGGCAGTTTGGCACCGGCGGAGTCAACGTGCGTCCTTCATTTCCGCGGCCCCCGCAGACGACCTGCCGAGTGCTGCCCCCAAGCGGCAGATTGCGGAAGTTCGCCGCTCTTCCCCCTCCCCGTCCCTTCCACCTCGCATCGCCAGAGCGCAGCATCCCGGTCGTTCCATTCCGCGTCGAAAGCACCTCCCATCCCACCTCCCTCGGCGTCGTTGCGTTCGCGCCGGATTTCGTGTCCTTCAAGTTGCGTAATGCTTACTTACCATTAATTGGATTGTTGGTGAAGTAGATACCTTTTTATTATGATAAATAAATAAAGATATTGTCAGGTATCAATATTTTAATTCAACTTATGATCATTTCGATCGCGTAGCGATCATCTTCAGAGATAAAATATGAAAAACAAATATTATAAACAGGTTGTAGTTATTGTCTACAAGATGCGTAAGCAAACTGGATCGTACATACCTTGCAGCTTCTGGGCCGAAAACAAAGTTCTGCGAATTTTTGAGCGTGTGTCTTGTTTAAGAGCACAGCCGGTCGGCAGCGGGAGGGGGCGGGAAGACGGGTGGGGTGCGGGTGAAGGGTCGTAAAACGCGGGGGTGCTGGTGGATGCTTGAGAGACGGTCGGGCGAGCGAAGGTTAGTGGAGTGGGGAGGGCTGGGGGTGGGTTAGGGGTGTACACTTTGTGCTAATTTTAGCAGAGGTGAAGAGAGTTCAGGGATTTGTTGGTTAAGACATGTCATGTTCTGTTTTTTGAGGGCGTTGTTGGCTTACTTACCAACACGTTTCTACGTGTCTTAGAAGAAATGTTGCAATAAAGTACCTAAACAATGCACCCTTTCTAGCCGAAAAAGTTGGAGCATTCTCTTGGTAGGTGGGGGCCTACAATGGAAGCCCCCCTCTACGGCGAATGGAGTGTCTTCAGCGCGCATTGGTCGCCTGACTGTGCGTTAATAGTTCATTTAAAATGGCGGTGCCTTGTTTGTAATCAGAAGTACATTAAGGTACAATTTTTTTTTACATTTTATTTGCTATAAGATTCACCAAGAAGTAACTGAATTTCAATAGTTGAGTGATAAGAACATTCGAGTTAAATAATTACGAGGTTTCGCCGATCTTCTAATCAGTTGAAAACGCTATTAATTGGGTATATTAACAAGAGTTTTACTTTAAATATCACGCCAATCGTCATGCGGCCATCTTTTTTGAACACATAACCGGCGCCTCTCCAAAACAAACACGCCTCCAGAGCAACCCATTACGTTACTCAATTGTTCGTTCTCTTACGAGTTGATACAGTCGTACCAAGTTCTACTTTCATTTCGCAACACCATCTATTTCATTACGTAATATAAACTTCGATAATAATATAACCCAACACATTTGATACGTTCTTGTTGAAGTTCATTGAGATCAGGGTTGTCCAAGTGGCGACCCGCGGTGCCAACTATTGTAAACCGCGAAAGATTACTCAAAAGTGAAAGAAATCCTTGCATCCATGTCGGGTGAGAACATCGTGCATCTAGCGCATGCGCTGTCGGGATCAATACCGCCTTTGGGTAAAATAGTAGGTTGTTTACATGTAAAGATTTTGTTTTCTAGTAAATTCAGAAATTCGAAACCATCGCAATGTGCTTCACTGCGTTATGCGTTATGTGGCCTGATATCAGGCATGGTTCCATCCCCCCTAATTTCAGGGAGCCTGGCAAACAGCAGAGTTTAACAATACGGGGAAGTCAGGTGTGGCTCGCCAGAGTAATGAAAATATGGCCTGCGACCACATTAAAGGTGCATACAATCTTGGCTATCCGGGATGAGCCGCATCTCGGTCAGTTGTACCAGTTCGGCCATCTTGCTGTGGCTTTCTTCAGAGCTATACTGCTGATAGATAAGATGATAGATAGCAGCAGTGTAGCTCTGAGCTGATACGTCAGTACAATTGACCGAGACGCGGCTCATCCCGGATAGCCAACAATGTATTGACCCCGGCCGCGGAAGCCTACGAACTCATTAAAGGTGTCCGTGAGAACTTTCAGGTTGGACGCCCCTGACTTAGATCGACGAATTTACCACACTCATATATTTTGCGAACACATATTACATAAAAATGCCGAAATCGCTGGGCCGAAGACGAGCGAACGGGCAAGACGAATGGAATTTTGGAAAACTTCATTACGCAGATTCCCGTAAGGCAGGCGCGAATCCACGGGGAGTGAAATGAGGGATATTTCTCCCTACCCCCTAATATGTTTCAGTAACTATTAATTTTAACTTGTCACGAAACTTTCAAGCAAAAATATTTTCGGATAATCATTAAAACGGATAAAATATAATCGTAGCATAAGTTTAGTGAAGCCTGCAACTTTTTACGAAATCTGTAATATGACACTTTGGACCAAAATATTTTGAATTTTCCCTCCCAAAATGTCTTTCTTTATCCACGCCTGCGTAAGGATATTCGCAGTAGGCCTTTACGGTTGGGACTGGTCGATCCGCATCTTCAGCCGTTTGCAAAATGAGCGAAAGAAAGATCTGGACACTAGACGTGCAGTTCCGCCTTTACCGATGGTGTCACCGGTACGTGCTTCAGGTCTGGTCTGCCTCTCCGCCGTTTCGTTGAAGTCATCTGAAGCCTTTGGGGTGAACGTGAATGCGTTCATTTTAATAATGTTGATCAAGGATCATCCCGACTCGTACAATATGATTTTAAGTTTAAAAAATTAATGTATTACCTAACACTCGGGAGTGTTATTTACTTATCTATAATATCATCAAAAATTAACATTTGCCAAATTTAAAATAAGTACTTTTTATTTATAAAAATCTGTGCAGTATTAGTGACACACTTGTGCACTGGGAATACATTATACCGTATTTGGCAATGAATATCAATTTATTAATAAGTAAATTATTTGTATGTATCTCATTTGCGTAAATTATTGTCTTATCTGTGCCGATAATTTTTTACATTTCTAAACAAAGGAATGCAATTATGATTCTCTTCTTAAGTTCTGTTTAATTGTAAACAATTACAATGTTTACTAAAATATTTATTTATCAAAATTAAATATTACCAAAATATTTAATTTATATATAATTATACATATTACAAAATATTTATTTTTCAAAATTTCCATTTTAACTTCAAATTTTTTGTGAGAGATCCTAAATTAAAAAATTAACTATTGATGTTCCATCTCGTCGGAATGTAATAAGAGAAATTCCCCTTTCGTCATTCTCGTTTTGTTTAGAAGAGAAAAAGAGAATCTCGGCTTTCTTTGACTCATTGCATCAATTTTCTTATTCCGCTATTAAAAACGAACACAATGCGATTGCTTCGTTGCTTAAAATATGAAA